AGTAGAAACATGAACCAAGGCTGCATTCAGACAAATGCTCAACATTCTGCAAAGAGTGTTTAACCCTGCAGAGCTGCTTCCTGAGGTGACGTGTGGCTATTATTGCAATTTAAATGAGGACAAAACTCACCTCTGTGCTAAAGCTGCTAGCATCCCTATAGGATTCTGGTAGTATGTTAGCATTAAGCGCATTTTTTGGCCGTTCTGGGTTAAACACAGACATTTGGAGCTATAAAAGAACTTCCATGTTTTACTTCAAGCCTGTGACAGACACATTAGTCAGTTTCACAGTGGCTCTTTCAGTAGTGAGCTCTGGTGTAGAGCTGCCACCGCTGTTTTCCATTTCTAACAACCCACTGATTAGACTGTCGCTTGTGTTCAGTTAGTGAGTGTGTTTACATGCACTTAATAATCCGATAACTGCAGAAAATCAGATTTTGTCAGTGATCTGATCAACACGTTTATGTGCACTTGAGTAATCAGATAATGGGGAAACTCCAGGTCTACATGAGTCAGACAGTAATCGGATTTCTGCTTTACAACCAGCCAATAAACTCACAGAAGAAGACATAACGTAATGTAAAACTCAAACTTCATGCTGCAGCTTTTTTTTAAAAAACATCGCGCCACTTTACCTGAAAATATGAACAAACATCATCTAGAAGATGAAGAATATTTAAATCCTTCAATTCATCAAGCATGTAGTTGGTTTCAGTGTCGCTCCAAAAGTGTTTTGCTGCGATGCTGCTCGCTTATTTCCGGTACCGCCGTCTGTTTTTGCATATGCTCAGACTGAGAAATCAGAAAGAAATCAGAGTAAGAGTTTACATGCACTGATAAATCTGATTACTGAGCTAAAATCCAGCCTCTTTATCGGATTTCTTAATCAGATTTCTAGACCTTGCTCCGATCTGTGAAATCAGATTGTGCTGTTTACATGACCATTTGAATAATCGGATAACTGCAGAAATCCAAATGTGATCGGATTATTGAGGGCATGTAAACACACTCGGTATTGTCTCTAGAACTTCCAGAAGGCCCAGAGTGACGGTTTTCTCACAGAAATTTGTCCCACCTATTAGAAATACCTATTTCTAACACCTATTAGAAGTCAAATCAGTATTGGTTGATTCCTCTGACACTTTCTCAGCCCCTGAACTCCTAACCAATAGGAGAGCTCGCTTAGCTACGTCTACACTTACCTACACACTTCTGTAACCTAAGAATAGCTCAGCCAGTTTACAGTGAAGTCCCTGTAGTAACTAAACAATAAGCATTAGTATGTAATAAGCCTGAGATTTTAAGGGGTTAATAAGAGGAACCACAAAATTCAGTTCGATGCGCACTAAAAAAAATTCCACGCCAACTCACTGAGGGCCTGTCTGGTCACGTCACTGACTTCCATAAAAAAAAAAAAAACAAGCAAAATTTTAGTTTAAACACTCCAATTAGACTTTTAGCTCCGATTTCCTAAAGTTTGCCTTATTAGGGAATAAAATACTTAAAATAACTCAAAAAGTGTTTACAGAGGAACTGAACTGAGCTGAAATATTAACTGGGCATAATTACAACAAAAAGATTAATAGTTTACTTTAAATCAGCTACTTTTGTGCTTCATACCTTCAGTAGGTTCAGTTATTGGAGGATGTGTTGTATTTTTTTTTGATTTTGCAATATTTCATCTTTGAATTTTAATCTCTCGGAGGGTATTTTGTAGTATTCCCACATTTCCAGCAAATCTATACATTATTCATTTCTGGATGCAATATTTAAGGCTATAGAATGAGCCTCGCAACTGAAAATCCACTGTGTAGCCCTTTTAGGCCCTATTCGCTTACAAATACACTGTAGGTTATTTTGTCTGTATTGATTTATTTTGTGTATTATTTATTTCTTTCATTATATAGATACATTTAAATATTATATTTAATCAAATCTTCATTCAGGTTTTATTGGGTGTAACATTTAATACACTTTTTCTACACAACTATTTTGCATCCTTTTACAAATAAACCGACTGGGGCGGGGCGGGGCTGCCCAGCAGGTCACTCAGAGCTCCCGAATGTTCAGAAGTGACTGACGGATCTGAATCATGCACCATTTTTTTTCATTGTACAGGAATGTATATTGTAAATCTGGTATGTGAGGTCATTAAGGTTGGGGACAGGTCAGCGCAGATGAGAGGCCTGTGTGCATGACGTCATCACGAGGGGGTGGAAATTGTTCCATTATTGAACAGCTAAAAATAAAACTCCAGATGGCCCCTTTATAAATCGATTGGGAGTCCCGATAACAGAGAACGCACTTATCCGCTTCTCTAACTCACCAAATATGATTCTCTCAGTCAAGCTGGGGAACGAACTCCGTCCAGTTCCTTATGAAGATTTTACTGAGCAGGTGTGGGAGGTTAAGTGAATTTTGAAATTCTGCCACATTTCCCTGCTACGAATACAAATATGCAATTACTCTGCAAATGTATTCAACACATCATTCAACATGTCATAAAATGAAATGAAATTAATATCCAGAATGCCTTTGTATTTAAAAAGCGATCAAGAAATGACCAAAAACAGATAATTACAGTGTATTATTCATCCTTTAATAATGTTCCCCAAAACCACTGATTATATTATATAAGCTGAAATACCTTCTGTTGTCCTGCATAGAGGTTTTAACTCTACACTGTATATGGAGCTCTACTGTAGTTAATAGTCAATTGCTATAGTTCAATTTGTGACTAAAACATTTTGAACTGCTGCTGAACTAAAAATCAACAGGACACAAAACTATGAAGCTTACAGTGCAACTGTAACAGGATATCAACACACATGGACATCTTCACTTTAGTCCTCTGAGTTCTAGCTATTAACCAGGTAAGTGTGAGGTACAAACTCTAAAGCACTACTCTTAAAAAAAGATGGTTCTTCAAGGATTCTATAGTCAAGAAAACGGTTCTATATGGAGCCATGAACACTCAAAGAACCCTTTGCATGATTGAGTTCTTCGCATCATGAAATGGTTCTTCAGATTAAAGGAGAATGTGCTGTAGATGGTTCTATACAGAACCCTTTTTGAAAAGGGTCCCACTATTTTTACAAGCCAAAGAACCCCTTTTTGCTAAGAGTGTAGAGAATTAGTTTGGGCACCATCATGGTAAATTCCAAGGCAGTCTAAATGAATTACGCTGAAATGCCCAACAGGTTCTAGATATTAAACGTGTACATGTGTGGCACAAACTCCACAGTGCTAATTATTTTAGGTAAACAGAAGCAGGCAGTTATACGATGTACTGAGAATGTACACAAATAAAGCAGAGTTTTATATAGTATGTAGAGGAAAGTGATTATTACTGTGTATTGGGTTCTAGACGTGTGTATTTGTGTCGTCATTTCATGCCATGTAACTATTCACTACTTTGAGGACTTTCTGATTTACTTTACTGCTTAAACATGACATTACAGTGAAACTCAGTGCAAGTTTGTACCACTTAAAATATATTTGAGATTCTTCACTGTCCTTTATCAATTCCACCAATTTTCTGCAGAATTAAACGGTTAAGCTGTAAACAGAGTCGTTCAGAGTGGTTTGGTGTGAAACGCTCTGAGAAACTTGAGAATCAGAACTGTTCACAGTGGTGGTGAAAGGAACCAGACGTCCACCTCTAAAAGCTCCCTCAGAAAGTTATTGCATGAAATGCTTATGAATTCACTGCCTGACATCTGACACGCTGTTTTATGATGGTTTTGTGAGATTTTGCCCTGAAACATACATACATACATCATCTAAACCGCTTATCTTTCTGGGTCGCGGTGGGATGCTGGAGCCTATCCCAGCTGTCATTGGGCGGAAGGCAGGATACACCCTGGACAGGTCACCAGTCCATCGCAGGGCAGACAGACAGACATACACAGTCACACACACACAATCACACCTAGGGGCAATTCAGCATGTCCAGTTGGCCTGACTGCATGTTTTTGGACTGTGGGACGAAACCGGAGTACCCGGAGGAAACCCACGCAGACACGGGGAGAACAGGCAAACTCCACACAGAAACGACCCTGGTCACCCAGCCGGGACTCGAACCCAGGCCATTCTTGCTGTGAGGCAACAGTGCTACCCACTGCGCCACCGTGCCGCCCCTGCCCTGAAACATGTATTTCTTATTTCAACGACCATTAAGTACAACTTATTCTTTTTTGGGAAAAAACATTTAAATGATAAAATAATCCACTTGCCTAAAGAGGGAACTGAAGGGAAAATAGGTGGAAAAAATAGTTTCCACAGAAAAAAAAAGGTTCCAAAACTGGAGTTTACACAAAATGCTTAAACGCCACAGAGAATATCGGACTCCTTACAAGGATACCATGAAATGAATATGTTTTTGCTGTTGGGTAAAACTGTCCCTGTGTAGGTTCACTGGAGGTTCTGGATAGTAAATAAAATGTCTATATTTGTGTTGTAGTCATGGCGACCCCTGGTTCCTATCACCACCACTGTAAAGAGATCTGAACCACTTCACACCAAACCACTCTGAACCACTCTGTTTACATCTCACACACTGAATTATACAGACATTTTTTCCTTTAATAGCAAAAACCTTTTGAGCATTTCAGTGTAATTTAGTTAGACTAACCTGCAACTTCTCATGTTACCCAAAATGATGATCTAGTATTTTGGAGTTTGTTCTTACCTCACACTCACCTGGTTAGAACCTGAAGGCTGTAAAAGACAGCTTTATGCATATTTTATCAGTTGGCTAGATAACGTAAACCAATCTCACCCAGAAATATCTTTTATCTTCTATTGAACAGTCGTAACAATTCATTATCTGGCTAACAGTGAAATTTCACAGGAAGTATCCGCAAAAAGGGACGCTGTGCAAACAAAGGAATGTAATGCAAACAATGAAAAGTGAATAGACATGAAGTATAACTGAATACAACTGACCTGACTGCGAATATACTGCTTTTAAAAGCAACTCCAAAAGGCATGAGTACAAAAAAACATTTGTTTAATAAATAAGCAGTAAAAAAACTCAACAATGTGTACGTGTGTATGGCAAAAATAATAAAGAAGGCCAAGAACAAAAAAGAGAGGCAACAAAAAGCAGCATACAATGAAGGTCTAGTTATACATCCGCAAAAAACAAAGCACATAAAAATGCATAAACAGCACAGAAATCAAACGATACATTCATCAATGGTTAGTGTTCAGCTTCAGCCATAACAGCAGCGTCGTTGTGGATTAATGACCGTTATTCTGTTCGATCAAAGAATTGGCTCACTTTCGTTCCAGCTCACGGCGGCATCTGCCCATCTGGAAAGCACACAGAAAAAAAAAAACAACACATTGACAGACTTTTACTTTGCTTTTTGGGTTTAATTCTGAAGATGCCCCAACTAGTTCACAGCCAAGGGGTCACACATGTTGTTCAGCAGCTCTGACAAAGTCAGGAGGTTTTCTTAGCAATGAATGACCAGTGATACTTCATTAAAGGCGGTCATTACAATGCACTCATTTTAAGTTTTATCAAGACAGTAACTGGTAATGAATTAGCTGCCTATTACTATTACTTCACTAAGTGATAACAGTGAATTAAGCATTTTCCAGATCATAATAATGTGTATATCTGTATGAACTAGTGCTTCACTAAGACAATCTGACTTTATCTAATGTTTGAAGTACAGAGGCTGTTAATCAGCACAGTTCATAAAGACTCCTTACTCACATGAGGCCTGTCCAGCAGACATTCACACCATCTTATGAGTGAATGTAACTAGAAAGCCTTTAGAAAACAGGGTCAGTTTGTCTTTATTCAGAGCTGACTGATGATCTCTAAAGCATTGATATGAATCAATTAGTGATTTACTGACGTATTTGCGGAGATATTGGTACGAATCAATAGAAAAGCCCATTACAAACTATTCAATACAGACACAATGCTCAGATGTGGGTTGTGAACAAGATTATAATGTACACAAATAAAAGTCCTCTAGAAAATGCTGGAAAAAAAAGGCCCATATCCTACATCCTCCTTGTATTTTATTATGCCCCCTGAGATCCACCTTCATTATCCCTTAGAATTAAACAGGCTGTTTTTTTGTCACTGACCAATATATGTGAATAACCTCCGTTCTGATTGGCTGCTCTTCTTTATAACTTCAATGCGTATGGGCCGAGTTCAACTGCAGAAGTGCTGAATAGACAGATATATGTAAATGTGATGGTTTTTGTGACATCACAAAAACAGTGAATTCAAAACGGCCTATTTTTGCAGCTTAATCTCCACATATAGACCATATACACTTCAGAGTGAACAGTATATTTTTGAAAATTCAATATGTTTGCATACTACATTAAAGTCTTTTATTAAAGAAAAAGTGAGGAAAATCGGGTTGTCCATGATATGGACCCTTTAATCCACCCTAGTGATCTCTTAACAAAGTAGTACTGGGCAGACGGTTCATTGGCAGCTATTAGCTTAATATGTTTTAAGTAGGGGCGGCACGGTGGCGCAGTGGGTAGCGCTGTCGCCTCACAGCAAGAATGGCTGGGTTCGATTCCCAGCCGGGTGACCAGGGTCATTTCTGTGTGGAGTTTGCATGTTCTCCCCGTGTCTGCGTGGGTTTCCTCCGGGTACTCCGGTTTCGTCCCACAGTCCAAAAACATGCAGTCAGGCTGATTGGACATGCTAAATTGCCCCTAGGTGTGAGTGTGTGTGTGGATGTGTATGTCTGTCTGTCTGCCCTGCGATGGACTGGTGACCTGTCCAGGGTGTATCCTGCCTTCCGCCCAATGACAGCTGGGATAGGCTCCAGCACCCCACCGTGACCCAGAAGGATAAGCGGTTTAGATTATGTATGTATGTATGTTTTAAGTAGGGCATTACAACAGCCTTATAATTGCCACCTAAAATAAAATGTTACCAAAAGACCAAACGCGTATTGCTTGGATGCCTTGACCCATAGTGTGAAGTGACGCCTAAAAATTTTAAAGGACCACTCACTCCAAGTCAGGTCTGAATAGCCAGGCATCTTCACAATGTTATTACCATCCATTATAAGTGCTGAGTTTGACACCAAACAACAAACATTTTACTCATTAAAAGGGCTGTTTGGTTATTTTGTTGATGAAATCAGCTTCTTTAAGGATTACTTCAGTGCTTAATTGCACACACAAAGCTTACATAATCTAGAACCCATGTGTCAAATACATGGCCTGCAGGCCAAGTCAGGCCCGCGGCACAACCCTATTCTGCCCGCAAAATTATTTCAGTTTTCTATTAGTATTAGCCTACTTCACCATGAGCTGCACTACAGTTCCCAGCATGAACTGCAACATAATGTGTGCTCCCACCCCCTCCCCAATAACGATCTACAGGAGTGCACCACAAAAAAAGTTGCCAGGTGTCCAGTTCAAGCGAATGGGCAGTTTAAAAAAAATCTGCTGTACATTGGGGACATTTAAAGAAGTTAAACAGTGATCTGCAGATAATGTAGTCTATGGTTTTATATAAGACAATTTTTTATTTAAAATTCATTTTGAATCTTTCAAGTATTCAGTGCCTATTTTTTGTTGTAGTTTTGGCATATTATGAAAAAACAATGGATCAGTGGGGTCCTGACCAATTGTTAAGTAAAAATAAAATAAAAACACAGCTGGCCTTCAGATTTGTTGAGATTTTTTAATATGGACCTTTCAGTGGTTGAGTTTGACACCACTGATCTACTATATAAACCAGCAGAATGGGACGCTCTGGAGCAGCAGCACATGAGCCAAAGCGTGGGCTAGAGGGGTATAAAGCCCCCCCAGCATTGGACTGTGGAGCATTGGACCTTTGGCTGATGACACTCATCACTGAATCAGCTAGTGTTTGGTGTTGATTATTAGGAGCCACTGACGTTAACTGATTAACAGACTGACCTGGTCCTGATGCAGAGCTCTAAAGGGGGTATGAGGTCTGTATCCATGTTCTCAGAATCAGAGGGCTTCACAGCAGAGCCTGGATCTGAACAAACACGGAAGAAAACATACATCATTCCTTTATCGTTATCATCACAGAAGCACAGAATTGTGTAATATGCAAATAAGCCTCCTACCAATCACTGAATGTTTTACAGTGCGCTGTGAGATTTCTGACTATTCACAGTGGTTCTTTGCGTGTTTGATGAATGTATGATGTTCAAATGATCCACAACATCTCAATAATTTCAGTTAAAAATGCAGGCAAACCAGGTCACATTAAGGGTGTGTTTGAAATGTATTTAAAGAAGTGTGGAAGTGTGTTTCCTTCACTTCCAATCAAAATGACCATTAAGTACAATTTATCATTTTTTTGGAAAAAAGATTTTAATAATAAAATAATCAACTTGCCTAAAGAAGAAACTGAAGGGAAAATAAGTGGAAAAAATAGTTTCCACAGAAAAAAAAAGTTTCCAAAACTGGAGTTTACACAAAATGCTTAAAAGCCACAGAGAATATCGGACTCCTAACAACCACCTGCAAGACCTGGTAGACACCAAAACTGCCCCCATCAGATAAACAGCACTTAAAGCTTTCATCTTTGAGAGAGAGGAGAAAATCAAGCTGCTTCAGATCTGAAAACATCCACAGGTGTTTCTATCCATCCTTCCACTGTGAGAAGACGACTCAGCGCTGTGGGTCTGAAAGGATGTGTAGCTGTTCAAGAAGAACCTCACTGAGAAAAGGAGACGGACACACCAAACAAAGAAGCTGAACGATGGACTGACCACCCCAGAGTCCAGACCTCAACACCACTGAATGTGTTTGATTACTTCAGAAAATGATCAACCAGCTTCTAAGACTAAACTTTAAGGACTGGGAAAAACAGTCATGCAGATTTGTTGGAGATTTTAGGTCATTTTCTGCTAAATACACAGCACTGTGTAAAAGTCAGAGACCATGTTATTTGATTAAAAAACAGCCATAAATCATTTTTCAGTGTCAGGAAACATATGTGCAACAGAAAATCACGCAGAAGCCTTTTCAGTATATGGTCTCTCTCATCTCTTTTCCTTTATTGCAGCTTTCATTCTTCTCAGGAGACTCACTCAAAGAAATCTGCAGGGATATTTTTCCACACGTTCTAAGTTTAGTTTCAGAACAAGGTGGCATTTTCTGTAAACAGTGATGTTGAGGTCTGGTTTGATTTGTCTATTTCCTTTTCTCAGTGAGGTTCTTCTTGAACAGCTACACATCCTTTCAGATCCATAGCGCTGAGTTGTCTTCTCACAGTGGAAGGATGGACAGAACCACCTTTGTTTTTGCATAGTTGTGCTGTATATTTCTGCTTTTTTCATGACACTTAAAAAACAAATAACTGAAAGTTGGTCTTTGATTTTTGGACAATACTGCACTGCAAAAAATGGTCTCTTGGCAAGTGAAACAATCTTAAATCTAGTCGATATATAATTTTTTCCCCATTTTGAGATAGTTGTGCACTTATTATTAGATTATCTATTTTATTTCCAGATTGTTTTTACTTGTTTTAGGTCATTTTATTAAGTAAAATTATTTTACTATACTGGCAGATAATTTGGCTGGTTTCAAGCTCATTTCTTAAAACAAGCAAAATTATCTGCCAACATAGTGAGATCACTTGATAAAATTACTTAAAGCAAGTAAAAAATGCCTAGAAATAAGTTAAATAATCTAAAATTAAGCTTACAATAATCTCAGCAGGAGAAACATTAGAATTGTTTGCCTATATTAAAAATAATTTGACCTGACAAGATATCATTTTTTGCAGTGTGTTTAGCTGCTGTGATCTGGTGGTCAGATGGGTCTGCTGGAGCTCAGTGTACCGAACCCAAACAGCTGTGAACACGTCAGGAGCAACACATCCAGTTTGAAACATTTTAATCCTTCTTCTATTCTGAATCAGGAGTCTTAGAAAAGCACATATAAAGAACCATGCAGTGCTGAGAATCAGAGCAACCCAAACTCACAGACTGTTAATCTGATTGGTTCTTGCTGGTTCGCCAGACCGTCATAGTAATACAGGTCAAACTCCCTGGGGCTCCACGGGCTGGATGCCAGGTCCTCATACAGCGAGAACAGCACACTGAAATGGCTCTCACTGCACACCACCCACAGCGGAAACCTGGGGGTCTTCAGGTAAGAGCCCACCTGGAGGAAAATCAGCAAATCACACTCAACATGCTCCTTTTGTTGGTGGTACACCTCAAACAGTGGCGCAGGATTCTTACTTTGCATATGTTGTAATGCTCAAACAAAGAGAGCAGTCCAATGTTACAGCGCTCTTTGATCCCCTTCAGGAGGGTGAAGTTCCCATTTCCTGAGTCCAGCTTCATTTCATCATCAAAGACGTTTGAAACTGCCCGTCCACACAGCAACAGGTTCACCAGTTCCTTTGAAAAAAAGGAGAAGAATTAAGAAATGACACATTAACAGCTTTATATAATACAGGGTGATTCAAAAAGATTCATCTGATTTCAAAGCGCTATGTTTTTACAACCGTGAGGCATCTAGGAACCAATCACATACCAATTGAAAGAGGGGGTCATAGAGTTTCTGACTGTCAGTGGAAGATGGCTCCCTTCAGTCTGAGAGGAGATGAGACCCCTTAGCAGAAAGCATTCTGCGTTCTCCACTTCAATAAGAGTGAATCCGTCATAACTGTGCAGCGTGATTTTCGTGGGCAGTGAAGCTCCAACAGCTCAGAGCGTTCGTCGTTGGTTCCACAACACTGGATGATCTCCGAAATCACACTGAAAGAGCCGTGAGTGCAGCGACACCCAACATGCTCAATCCAGTATGGGATGAGTTTGACTATGGCGTTGATGTTGTCTGTACAGCTGGAGGAGGTTCATACTGAGACCTTGTACAATTACATAATAAACTTTATGCTCACTTTTATTATTTACAGTTTACTGTATTGATCTGTAATGATTTACATTTTGAAATCAGATGAATCTTTTTGAACCACCCTGTATATATCCTCATTACAATGCATACACAGCAAGGTCTTCTAAGTGATGATTTTAGTGAAAATACACATCCTCTACAGAGAACACACTTAGATATGGCACAATTTCTATTTATTTGTTAAATTTAACATATGGGAAATTATAACATTAAATGGGCCATTTCTTATGCACAGGCCACATTTAATGTTTTATTTTTTTTCCAAACATTAATGTGCAGAAGTGTGTTCTCTGTATGTGTTAACTTATTTTCACTAAGAAAATCAACAAAACATGGAATTTGAAATGCAAATGTAAATAAACTGAACATTTCCAAAGTTTAAATAACTGAGAAGCGAAACTGATCACTTACAGATATATTCACTCAGACTGAACTACCATTCATTGTTTTCCAAACACAGATTAGGTCTAGTCTAAGGTATTACACTGTCAGGCTGCCTTACTCGAATCTGAATGTGTCCTGAAAAACATGCACCATATGCCCTACAGAGAGAAACAGAAAAGAAAAGCTATACAGGCACTGAACACTGGAGATTTTACAGTAAATGTAGAAGGACAAAGGCTGTGCCCAAAACGGAGACCTACTTGTTAGTATTGTACTAGTGCTCAGAACCACTGACCATTTGTGTTTGCACACAGAGGAACCCGACCTCTGCATTTAACGCATCCGTGCAGTGATACACCCGCACACACTAGGGGGCAGTGAGCGCACTTGGCCCGAGCGGTGGGCAGCCCTATCCGCAGCGCCCGGGGAGCAGTTGAGGGTTATGTGCCTTGCTCAAGGGCACTTCAGTCATGTCCTGTCAGCTCAAGGGATCGAACTGGCGACCTTCCGGGCACAAGCCCACAACTGCCCCTCTATATAAAGGTAAACTATTTAGTTTTCTAAATAGCAGCAAAAACACATAAATCAAAATATGAATTTGGACAATTTATTCATGGACAGCCTGTGTCATTAATCACAAACAAATCGACATCAGTTGCTCAAGTGACATTGAAGTTGGCTTCTTATTCACAGCCATAGATACTAGAAAGCAGGTAAGAAGAAAATGACCAAATTTGACCAGGCTACTCATTTAATTCTTGGTCCATGACTTTATTAATCTACAGTCAGCATTCAGTGTTGCTGTATGATGAGCAGTAGGACGTAAATACATTAAGGTCTTTGTTTTCAACTGTGCATAGTTGCTCTTTTCTCAACACTGAGCCAACAGTCTAATAAGTTTCATATTTAGTGGCTTTGCAGCCGAGTAACATTTCTTCTGTCTGTTGCAAAGTACGAAGAGGTTTTGCTCCACATTCAGTTTACATGTTCAACAGAAGTTATGAGTACGCTGTCGGTGGCTGTAGTGCCTCAAAATCACTCTGAAATTCCAGTTTTACTACTCAGATGCAAAGAGAAAATGGTCACATGATAGTGCCCTAAAATAGGAATCCAGTTTGACCACAGCCAAAGAATTAAAATAAGGACGAGAGGAATTAAAGGGGAATTAAATTTCTGTCTAATTAAGTCATTAAGATGTAAACAAAGTTGTTGCTCTGTTCTAGAGAAACGTAGGCTCACACTACCAGGTTGAATTGGCACAAATCCGATTTTTTACCCTAATGTAACTCAGATCTGATGTTTTCAGGGCTGTGTGGACACAAATCTGACCCTTTCAAATCCGACCTGAGTCACTTTCATATGTGGTCCTAGACCACATATGTATCCGATCCGTGGCCATGCGACCTTAATGTGACGCTCAGATCGGAATTCATGTGCTTTTTTCCACTGCGCCATCATTCAGCATTACCATGGCAGCAGCGCCAAACAGAAGTTAAAGCCTGTAAACGGTGGAAAAGCAGCTCATCTCACCTTTTTCTCCTTCGTCTCGCTCTAATAATGAAGCTGAGAGCTGATCAGAGTTAATTATCTTCTCAGCGAAGCTCGTTCTGCTCGTTAGTTTGTGCTGATGATGAACGTGATTCATTCACGTGACGTTACTGAGTAGGATGAGCGCATGAGGGTCATTTCAGGACACCGGTTCGTCACATTAATGACAGATTTGAGTCACTTACCTAAACGAGTGGGAACCATCGTCAGAGAGATCAGATTTGAGCAAGAAATCGGATTTGAGCAATGAGGCTTGAAATGTGAACGTAGCATTACTGAGTTTGTTTTTCCACAGTGGTGGTGATAGGAACCAGACATCCACCTCCAAAAGCTCCCTCACAGAGAGTTATTGCATGAAGTGGTTATGAATTCATTGCCTGGTGTCTGAGACACTGTTTTACAATAATTTTGAGATAAACATAAAATATATTTTTGTGTTTTTTTTTAATACATTCATGGCAGAGAGGTATGTGCAAAGCATTTTAAGGCAAAGTAGTATCTAACAAAAATACACTGTTCATAGGTTCACTGGTGGTTTTGGATAGTAAATAAAATGGCTATATATATATATGTTGTAGTCATGGGGATCCCTGGTTCCTATCACTACCACTGTAAAGAAATGTGAACCATTTCACACCAAACCACTCTGAATCACTCTTATATCTCAAACACTAAATAAAGAAATCTTTAGAAAATAAAGAAATAAAGAAATTTTGGAGAATGGGTGGAATTGCCCTTTAAGAACAGTGGCTGGTTCTGGGCAAGCTTTACTGCTTCTGTAAAGACTCTGAAGCAACTACTCCAGCCTGTGGCATCAAAGGGCAGTATGGTTGAACAATAAAGCTGCATGTTAACCAGGCCTTCTTTATGATTCTCCTTAGTTGCTCTTTACATCCCTGCACAATGTCACAACACCTTCTACATACCGTCCACTCCGACCTCAAAACTGCACAAGAATTCTGCCATGGTCTGTCACAAATTTGGGGGCTTGGCTTTTCCAGTTTTTTAATATACACCAATCAGGCATAACATTATGACCACCTCCTTGTTTCTACGCTCATTGTCCATTTTATCAGCTCCACTTACTATATAGGTGCACTTTGTAGTTCTACAGTTACAGACTGTAGTCCATCTGTTTCTCTGCATACTTTGTTAGCCCCCTTTTACCCTGTTCTTCAGTGGTCAGGACCCCCATGGACCCTCACAGAGCAGGTACTATTTAGGTGGTGGATCAATCTCAGCACTACAGTAACACTGACATTGTGGTGGTGTGTTAGTGTGTGTCGTGCTGGTACGAGTGGATCAGACACAGCAGTGCTGCTGGAGTTTTTAAACACAGTGTCCACTCACTGTCCACTCTATTAGACACTCCTACCTTGTCAGTCCACCTTGTAGATGTAAAGTCAGAGACGATAGCTCATCTGCTGCTGCACAGTTTGTGTTGGTCATCCTCTAGTCCTTCCTCAGTGGTCACAGGACGCTGAGCTGTTTAAAAACTCCAGCTGCACTGCTGTGTCTGATCCACTCAGACCAGCGCAACACACACTAACACACCACCACCACGTCAGAAGTTGAAATCAGGTTTTTGTTCTAACCACAGTGCAGAGACAGCACTGGTTTGTGTTGTGAATTACCTCAGGCTCAGCGCTGATGCACAAAATCCTTCTATTCTGGTTTTATTAGATCTTAGTGCGGATTTTGATACCGTTGACCACAAGATTTTAATCCAGTGGGTGGAAGCACAAGGTAGGTGTTTCTAATAAAGTGGCCAGTGAGTGGAAGCACAAAGTGGGTGTTTCTAATAAAGTGGCCAGTGAGTGGAAGTACAAGGTAGGTGTTTCTAATAAAGAGGCCAGGGACTGGAAGCACAAAGTGGGTGTTTCTAATAAAGTGGCCAGTGAGTGGAAGCACAAAGTGGGTGTTTCTAATAAAGTGGCCAGTGAGTGGAAGCACAAAGTGGGTGTTTCTAATAAAGTGGCCTGTGAGTGGAAGTACAAGGTAGCAGTTTCTCCACAAGTAACCAGTAACTGCACATCTCGAGTGAGTCATTTTGGACTGGTGAGCGCCCTCTGCTGGAGACGTGTGGCAAGTTAACAGGGTTCAGTGAAGAGGCTGTTTCCGCTTATTAGTCAGTTGAGCAGTTCTGAGAAGGACCAAATCACCTACGATTCATAAGCTGACCTGTGTGCAGTAGCCGTGCGCGCCGACAAGAGTGGAGGTGGGCACGTCCATGTCCCTCCTTACCCTGCAACACAAAAGGAGAAATGAATTACTCGACTCTCTCAAACCATAAATGGGTCTATTTTAAGTGCTGAAGTCTGTTTGAAACTAATGGAGCGTTACATCGGAATCGTTCTGGAAAGGATGGCGCAGACGATGAACAGGATGCAGCCGAAGGGACCTGATTCAAACTGAACAGAGCACAAAACAAACAATGGCCCGGCTTTAACAGTAAGATCAGGAAACAGGAAACAGAGAGAACAAGAGTCAGCACGCCACACAATTACTGTACTCAATGAACTCAACATATGATGCAGGCTAATGTCTACTGTAAATGATGCTTCATTCACAGCTCAGAGAAAAACGAAACTCATCAGACAACGTTACATTGCAGCTTTACCTGTTGAATGTGCTGTTCTACCAGCATTTTTAGGTCATCTAAACTCTCAACATCGACGCAGGTGATCTGCAGAGACAAAAACAGACAAGAAGCGTAATCAGGCAGAGGAAGTAAGAATCAGACTAAGAGCATCTGTTCAGCAGACACTTACGACAGACCGCATGATATTAAAGGAGAATTCCACCAATTATTCATCATTCAGTGGTTGAGATTAAACATCCGGGATGGTCTGATGTGAAATGGTTCAATGTAGAGACTCCGATTTCTTTACGGTGGTGGTGATGATGGTAAAACAGTGGTATTTCTAAAAAATACGGTTTCTCTGGGGATTATTTTGCCTGTACCTTCTCTAGAATGGAGAATTTCACATCAAACCACTCTGAATGACTTTGTTTACATCTTAACCATAGAAATATATAGATGTTATGAAAAATCCCCTGAATTCCCCTTTAAGGCTGCAAGATATAGACTAAAAGTATCCTATCGTGACATATAAAACATGCTGATCAATGCTTGATGAAAGATCGGCCTGAATTAAACGATTTATGTTTGTTGGATCATGCAAATGTCTCAATGTACCCAAAACTCAGACACTCATCTGAAGCATCTGTGATTGGTCAGGATATTCATAGCAATTTAAAAAAAAATGGGATTTGTTAAGAGGCTTGTTTGCATATTGCAACCTTCAGCACTGTTAGTACTGCAAAAATAATTAGCAAATAATATACTGTGCAGCCCTACATGGTATCTTTTTAGACACAGTGCCAACAAATGAGAGGCAACCTAGCTGACAGGGCAGAAGTGCACTATATGGACAAAAGTACGTGGACACCTGACCATCACACCTATTTGAGCTTGTTGGATGTTCTGTTCTAAATCCTTGGCCATTCATATGAAGTTGCCCCCCTTTGCAGCTAAAATAGCCTCCACTCTTCTGGGAAGGCTTTCCAGCATTATTTTGATGGTATCTGTGGGAATTTGTGCCCATTCAGTCAAAAGAGCATTTGTGAGGTCAGGAACGATGACATGTTCCAATTAATCCCAACTGGGGTTGAGGTCAGGGTTCTGGAGTTCCTCCATACCAAACTCGTCAAACCATGTCTTTAAGGAGCTCATTTTGTGCACAGGGGCTCAGTCATGCTGGAACAGGAAAGGGTCTCCTCCAAACCACTGCCACAAAGCATTAACATCACCCTTCACTGGGAACTAAGGAGCCCAAACCGTGAAAAACAGCCCCAGCCCATCATCCCTCCTCCACCAAACTTCACTGTTAGTACTACGCATTCAAGTAGGTAGCGTCCTCCTGGCATCCACCAAACCCAGATACGATCATCAGACGGCCAGATAGTGAAGCATGATTCATCCTTCCAGAGAACACATTTCCACTGCTCCAGAGTCCAGTACCAGTGTGCCTCACACCACTCCAACCAAAGCTTAGCATTGCGCATAGTGATCTTATCCTACGTTCACATTACCAGGTTGAAGTGGCACAAATCTGATTTTTTGCCTTAATGTGACTCAGATCTGATGTTTTCAGAGCTGTATGAACAGGCAAATCTAATCTTTTCAAATCCGACCCGAGTCACTTTTATATACATGGTCCTAGATCAGATACGTATCTGATTTGTGGCCATGTGACCTTAACGTGGCACACAGATCGGAATTCATGTGCTTTTCTCCACTGCGCAGTGCGCCATCATTCAGTGTTACCATGGCAGCAGCGCCGAACAGAAGTTAAAGCCTGTAAACGGTGGAAAAGCAGCTCATCTCACCTTTTTCTCCTTCGTCTCGCTCTAATAATGAAGCTGAGAGCTGATCAGAGTTAATTATCTTCACAGCGAAGCTCGTTCTGCTCGTTAGTTTGTGCTGATGATTCACGTGATTTATTCACGTGACGTTACTGAGTAGGATGTGATCATGAGGGTCATTTCAGGACGCCAGTTCGTCACATTAATGACAGATTTCACACTTCACTTACCTAAACGAGTGTGAACCATCGTGTCAGAGAGATCGGATTTGAGCAAAATATCGGATTTGAGCGATGAGGCTTGTTATGTGAACGTAGCTTTAGGCTTGTGTGAAGCTGCTTGGCTACTGAAATCTATTTCATGAAGATCCTGACGCACAGTTCTTGTGCTGATGTTGCTTCCAGAAGCAGCCTGGAACTCTGTAGTGAGTGATGCAATAGAAGATAGGTGATTTTTACACACTTCGTACTTCAGCACTGAGCAGCCCCGCTCTGTGAGTTTGTGTGATCTAATGCTTCACGGCTGAGCTGTTGTTGCTCCTAGATGCTTCCATTTTAGAATAACAGCACTTACAGTCAACAAGGGCAGATCTAGCAGGACAGAAATTTCACAAACTAACTTGTGGCAAAGATGGCATCCCAAAACAGTTTCACATTTAAAGTCACTGAGCTCTTCAGCACGACCCACTGTACTGCCAGCGGAGAATGCGAGGCTATGTGCTTGATTTTATACACCTGTTAGCAGTAAGTGTGGCTGAAACATATGAACTACATAATTGTGTCCACATACTTTTGGCCATTACTGTTCTTTTTGTATTTTGGGGCATTTTCTGCAGCCCTTTTAGTGGATATTTCTGATTAATATAATCAAATAATAGAATATTTTTCCCTGTAACTCTATTATCAGTTTAACTAGGACAACACTGCCTCTACATTGAGCTACTAGTGATCAACAGGGGTTAAAGGAGAGGGGTGAAACCCCCCACCATGAAAACAATTCACACCCCTCCAAACAGATGGCTGTACAGAGATAAAAAGGACAGCACAGTGGACACACTAAAAGCAGAACATTTAAACACTATAAAAACACTTATACTTTGTCTATAAAACAATTGTATAGGTTGCTTTTTCACCTCATTTATTGAGGGAAAAAATGCGAGTTACAAGGGGTAGTGGTTAAAAACTTGCCCTACGAAATGGGACAACCCTCAAATTAAAAAAAACAAAACAAAAGATCACTTCATTAACAACCTTCTAGCGCTGCTCTGTAGGCGACCCAGCGTGTCTTCAGTGATAGCAGAGAAGGGAGAAGTCCAGCAACCTCGCCGCTGGGCTTTATTTACATTTAGCGCATTAAATGCTTTCAAAGAGGGGGATAAGACAATCATTTATTATCACCCACTCCAATTATTTGGTTTCTTCGGTCGCTCACGCAGCCATCTTGATGGTTTTTCTTTTTTCTCATATCACTTTGTTTGGAGTCTCTGAAAAACCTCCGTTTGGAGGGCCATGTAGCCCTAACACTTCGCCCTACCCCTCTATCTCAACTAAAATTGGGACACCCTTACCCTATTTGAACGCGCAAAACAGAGGGCTAAGGGCTAAATGGTAGGGGCAAGGGGTGAAATGGGATTGGGCCAAAATCTAAGCTGATATTCTCTAAAGGAGCAAATAAAACATCTGCTCAGTAATTTGAGTAAAATGATGTCTTTATCAATCAGGGCCTGTGACCTATACTACTTAACACACAGTCCTATTTTACATTAACTTCTCTGGCTCACACTTTGCCTTTGTTCAGCTTTTTTATTGGTGTCATTCCGCCAACAGAAAACCTGATATTGCCATGGTCGAGTCAATGGGTCTCTGGACACTGATGTCAGAACAAAAGATCATTTTCTGGACAAGCATGTTGTGGCGATGATGTCTAACACATGAACACAATTTTTGTGGACCTTTTATTCTCAGTAGTCTCTGCTCCCTTTACGAGCAAAAAAGTCTGTCAAATAGCTTTAATAAAAATCTAATAATCAATGCTGAAAGTAGCAACTTTTTTACCGTCTCAAGAACTCCCTCGGATCTGTAGTGGCCCACTGGCATGAACAGACTTCTGCCCGAGTTTCTGTAAAGAGACCATACGCAGGTAAGGAGCTGCTCCCAAAAGAAAACAGCAGTCTGACATCGCAGTAAATAATTCATTTGTTTACATGGCAACAGTGGCTTTCTTCCTGTCTCCGGCTCTCCACAGGATTTCAGCCAGAGCTTCGGTCAGGCACTTCGTCCTTACAGCGTCTGAAACCCGCAGCCTCCTGGTCAAATTTAATAACACATAATTTAAACGCATATCCTCTTGTGACGGGTATCAATTGGTGAAATACAATTTTCCAAACTCAAAATACACCTCAGTCATAAACACTGGCCCCTTTATGAATACCAATCCAATCAAACCCAAACAACAGTGAAATAACTCAATATTGCAGATGTAGCAAATTTCCTCTAAATGAAGTAAGTCGGTCTAAATGACATGAAGAAGGAAGATGATTGATGCTTGACGGCACTTACTCAGACGATGAGTCACTGCTGGTTCTTTCAAACAGAAGCTTCTGGAGAACAGTGGCCTGGACAGCAGCAAGCACGCCACACGGCCCTCCCTGGTCAAACGGCATAATCACTTACACACACACATCATGGCATGCTCTCTCGCCCTCTCTCTCTCTCTCTCCAGCCCTGTTTGAGGACTTTTTACAGTTAATAATGTCGTCCACCATGCAGACCTTGGATACTGTTTATAATGTGTTAAAAATGGAAAAAAGAAAGGATCTCAGTTCATTTATGTAATCATGCAAATAAAAACTAACTGAACTAATTTTAGTTAGTTAGCTCAACAATTTTGCATGCAATACTGTGCAAAAGTCAGAGACCATCCTTCCTTTCCAGTTAAAACGGCCATTAAGTTACTCATTTTTCAAAGTCAGGGAAAAACACAAAAAAAGTTGCCTCTGCAGTTAAGCAACATATTTTTTAGTGTATACTGTGACTTTATTAGCTCCTATTTAACCCTTGTGTGGTGTTGATGTGTTTGTTGGACCGACTGCATTATTGTTTTTAAAATCAATACAGTCATAACGTTTTATGTAAAAATACCAGATGTTTAAAATGTCACAAGTGTCCAGCGTAGGGTTCTCCTTTAGCAGCAGTAGCCAGTCAGCAGCCTGTCCATGTTGTCCACCCTCACACACACACACATACATATATACAAGCACATACACACATACACACACACACACAGACACCCACACACTAACAGCAGGCCATGTAGGAGGAGAACAGAGTGAAGGACACAGCACCTCCACACTTTTACTCCCTGCAGGTTCCCAACACCACATGTGTAATATAAATGTGTGGGGGGTGAACAGAGTGAAGACACTGAAAATGGGTTATTTTATATGTTCTTCACAGCAAATGAGCCAAGGACAAGAATCCAAGGATGAAATAATAATAAATCACATAATTTTTCCTTTTGGTAAACATTGAAAATGTGTCCCACAGACTCCCAACACCACACATAGGTTAAGGAGACTCACTTTCAGTGGTTCAAAGAAACCTGCAGGGATATGTTTCCATGGCTACAATGTTCAGTCTTATAAGTTGGTTGAGCTTTCTTCTTCTCCCAGTCAAAGTAATCCCACATTCAATGATGCTGAGGTCTGCACTTTGGGGTGTAAAAATACACTAATTTCCCTATCTGACACACTATGCCATGTTTGCCTCACAATATGATACATTTCCAATACTGAATTAGGAACATTCAAATTTTATTATTTATTTATTTATTTTTTCAGGGGTTTTTTTTCCAAAAAGGCTACAGTGCTTGTTGAAGGGATAACTGGCACTGACTGGCAAGTCAGTGTCTTAGAAAAAATGTAATAAATAAAAATAGCATTAAAAAAGTGCAAGGTGGTGCAACCGTCTAAGTGTTAGCCCCATCATCAGGAGATGGCAAGTTCGACGGCTGGTGATGCTACAGCTGTCTGAGGCCGGGAGTCCAAGAGGGCACAGCTGGCCTCGCTCTCTCTGGGTGGGTAGGATAGCCCCCTCCTTCTCCTCAAAAAGTGCAAGGTGCATATTTCATGTTGCACATGTGCGTTTCTCAAACACGTGTTACTATGGCTCTGAGTGTTTCGAGTTCATTTCGAATCTGATCTTGTTTTTGTCTATAAAATGTAGCTCTGATCTTCTGGCTGAAGCGAATCAGAGGGGATTTTCCAATGTGGCTCAATCGCTGCCAGTAAACTGCAGATCCAGGCTTCTCTACTGAGCACTGGTGCAAACTGGAAGCTATAAACATCCCTGTGGAGTTACTTGTTTCGCTCGTTCAGAATCGACACCTGGTGGCTGCTTGAATTCTGTGTGGAGAAGCTGCTGCTGTGACTCGTGTTTTCTCCTCACGCTGTTGACTGACACATTTGTGTGAGGTCTTCACAAGTGAGTTAGCATTTAGCACCAGTACTCACTCAGTGTTGGCACACTGTCACCGTTTAGTCTACCACTCTTTCTCGTCGTTATTCACTCGACTGGGAAACCAGAGTGTTCCCAAACAGGAGATGAACGCGAGGATAACTTCACTTCTTCCAGCTAACGTTTGCTCTCTCTACATGTCATTTCAAACAGCTCAGTTCATCAAACATCCAAGCTGGACAAAGATGAAGTTAGCTCGAACTAGCCAAAGTGTAACTGCTGCACCATTTAAGGTGGAACAGAAAATTCGCAAGGAAGCTAGAGATTAAGAAGCTTCAGCCTTCAGCTTTGTTCAAGGTACACTCTTAAAACTGATGGTTCTTTAAGTGTTCTTTAGTAAAAAAAATGGTTCTGTATAGAACCATGAACTTAAAGAACCCTTTGCATCATTCTTCAGATTGATGGACAATATGCTATAGATGGTTCTATAGAGAACCTTTTTGAAAATGGTTCTATGCAGCACCAAAAAGCGTTTTTCTATTGTTACAACGTCAAGCCTGTTTTTGGTGCTATATAGAACCATCTACAGCACATTGTCCATCAATCTGAAGAACCATTTAACGATGCAAAGAAATCTTTAATCACGCAAAGGGTTCTTTGAGTGTCCATAGTTCTATATAGAACTATTTCCTTTACTAAAGAACTCTTGAATAACCTTCTTTTTAAGTGTGCAGGCTAACCAAACCTGTTTTTTCCAGTCCTGAGAGCCGCACAGCAGAGCTTTCTTTACGTTGATGAGTATTAGTTTTAGGAATATGGTAAATAAACCCGTGTTACATAAAACTGTATAATATTTCCAGTATTACAGAATTTATAGCATGAAATAAAATGTGTTTGATTCACAGCGCAAATCGTCTTGAGACCCCATACTGAAAAATTGAATATGAACATTGTGTCGTGACACCCCTAGAGGTCAGTCCACTGTTCTGAGAGCACCAGAAGCTTCGTTGTTTGATCTGCAAATGTTCTTTCTTTTTTGTTTATCTCCTTGTCTCTGTAACAGCTCGACATTTTCGACTTTTTTTTACTTTGATCTTCTCCTTCATTATGCAAATGGAATATTTTATATCTAAACTCCTCAGAAATATTTGTGGAAAAGTGAATAACTTGTACTTAATGGCCATTTTGACTGGAAATTTAATAAATAAACTGTGGTCAAAGCCAGTTTATGAGGAGCCTGGCCACTTCCTATTTCCCCCGTTATATCAAAAACAGGACTGCTAAACAGCAGAGGGCGCCCACGAGAGAGTCCTCAATGAATGGGAGTAAATGGAGCTAAACGGCTAAAAATGAAAAAGTTAAAAATGTTTCTAGTCACTTATCTAGAACGTTTCTTTAGGTTTAGAAAGTAGAAGGATGTATTTCACTAAAAAGCAAAGAAAACTCACCTATATTTTTCCTTTTTTTCTACAGTAAACGGGTTTTGGGCAGCAGAAGGCGGGTATTACTGCTAGTGAGTGCTGATTGGTTGGTGAGCGGAGACGTCATAGATGTACATGAGGCGCCGTTTTAAACTCCTATAACTCGAGTTTAAAAGCTCTTAAAAATATAACAGCGGTGTTAAAATGTTTTATGCTGTTCTGTGTTCAGGAGATGATTGTATTCTTTTACATTAAAAATGTTTAAGTATTTATAAACTATGATTTTGCTCAAATTCTCCATATCAACCCATTCATTTTGGACTCGCTCGGGAGCGCCCTCTAGCGTTTGAGAAACCCAGAAGACATTACAGAGCGGTAATTCTCCTCTCTACAAGTTCTCTGGTGTGGTCTCTGACTTTTGCCAAAGCAGCGTGCACAGTCCATCATTTTCTGACATTGTAAAATCCCCACCATCCAACAGGAGGAGCAGTTAGGACCCCACAGTCCTACATTTACTGCTTTTTCAGCTTTAGGTTAGGTAAAGTGAGCAAATCCCTCAGATTATCTCATTCTCTGGGTATTATCTCATAGATCATCAAGGCCTGGGGGCATGATTGTATGACATTTTAGTGCATAAGTCAGTCTTTCAGATTCAGTTACTTTTACTTTTTACTTTTTTTTACTTTTTCTGCACAATCCCGTATCTCAGAGCAGGTGCATTTGAAAAAGTGAAACTCTGGCGTTTCCACTCCTCGCTGAAACACATCATGGGAGAGACCGAATATGATCTCCTTCAGGGCCTGAAATAAATCAGCAGGTAATTAGTAATGTGATTCTTTAGGAACAGCACTTTACGGAATACATCTTAAAATGCTAACAGTCTCAGTGAAGAATATGAGCTGTGATGTTTAACTCATTTTAATTTCAGAGAATCATTATGCTTGTTGTGTTTAAACTCTACAAGCATTGCATTAATACTCTTGTTTCACTGTTGCATTTTGTTTGGAAACAAAAGGCTTAAATAGAAAATCATCCAGTACAGATGATAGATACATCCAAGCAAGCTCTCCCATTGGTTAGGACTTTGGGAGCTAAACTGAAGACTTACTGTGTCAGATTAACTACCAACACGATTAGGAAGTGACAGAGGAATCAAACAATCATGTTTTGATTTACAACAGGACCACTTTTGTGAAACTCTAGGTTTTCTAGAAGTTCTAGATGAATCACTTTGAATATGAGCCAGAGTCAAAGCAGGTTTCGGTTAGTTGTTAGGAATGGAAAACAGTGGCGGCAGCTCTATGACAGGACATCAGAAACCATTTCAAAAATAGTCTGTTTAAAAAAACTTTTTTAATATACAACCCCATTTCCGAAAAAAGTTGGGACCCTATGCAAAATGTAAATAAAAACAAAATGCAACGATGTGCAAATCATTTAAACCCTATATTTCATTGACAATAGCACAAAGACAACATATTAAATGTTGAAACTGAGAAATTGTATTGTTTTTTGAAAAATATATGCCAATTTTGAATTTAATGCCAACAACACGTTCCAAACAAGTTGGGACGGGGGGCAACAAACACCTGGGGGCAACAGGTCACTAATATGATTGACAGGACTCTTTACTAAAGGAATCACTGTAAAACTGATTCATACAAGCTCATACTATTACATACTGCTAACATACTATTAGAAATCCATAGGAGAAACCCGCTAGCAGAAATGAGCATTATCGTAGAGTTTTTTTCCTTGTTTTTAATCACTTTTAATCAATTTATGGCCCAAACTATAGGCCTAGTTCTAACAGTCATGGTTCCCCACTGGTTCCTGCTACCTTTCATTCAGTGTTCACCACATTTGCACTTTTAGGTAATTTTTTAACTCTCAGTGAAGCCACACTTACAGTAGCCAGTTGCTGGTCCATGGGACGTTTGTTCAAATTGTGTTGAGGTAAAGAGTTGTTGACCAGCACTGTAGAAAGACCAGGTAAGTCCTCCTCATCATCTATGTCATCTGCAAAAAGACACAAATCAAAATCATCCGACATTTAAATTTAATAAAAGACAAATATCAAGCAAAATCCATTCAGGGATGCTACTGGTTTCCAAAGTCTTAACAAGCATTTGGCTTGAGGTCCCAAAAAGAGGATGAATGTACTACCTTTGATATCATAAGTATGGACCATAAAGAGCACAATATCAAAGGCAATATTACAGATGTTATTCTGCAGTTCGTTTGGCTGTGAACCATGGTATGAACTGCAGTCTGAGGAACATTATAGAAGCCCTACCCAGAACCAGTCCCGCCATATGGAGACCATCCACTCTTGGACTGCAAGCTGATTTGTTTCTGTAGAGAAAATAGCAAAACCTTATAATCAAGGAATTGGATTAACACAGCTCAGAACACGCACAGGTCCTAAAAGTCATGGCATAGTTTCAGGTGGAAATCTGATGGATTCTGCCAATGTGTTATGTACAAATCTGGCACACAAGCTTAAACATGCATTTTATGAACAATAAGAATTACAATAAGAACAATAAGAACACATTCACAAATAATACACTAAGCTTTTAACACAGAAATAATCCTGGAGTAATAGTTTATACTAAAAATACGTTTTAACAAAACTATCACAAAACAATGTCTCAGCTATCAAGCAACGCATTTATAACCATTCTGTGTAATAAGTTAACAGCATGTAGCTTTTAGAGCCATTAAACGCATCAGACATCTCGTTCCTAGTAATATAACAGTGAACAATTCTGACTAAATTTCTCTAGAAAGGCTCATTTCACACCGAACCACTCTGAGTGATTTTGTTCACATGTAAACCATTGAATGGTTAAATAGTTTTGCAAAATCGGTGGAGCTCCCCTTTAACACACTGTTGATTCGTTACTGGCCTACAAAGTTTTTTTTTCGTCCGACCCACTAGACATTGGGCTGAGCGTAAATTCTTGCGATTCTACTTCTGTGTCCTGTAGAGCAAAGTGTTTCTCACCTAGGGCCGCCATCCCCCCCCTGAAGTAAGAGTCATCCCATTTTATGGCACCATTTTAAGTCATTCGGATGGGGTATAATGTTGACCCCTGCAGCGCTGCTGTGAACTGTTCTAAGTTAAGACTTGGCTTTTGTTCATAATCTATTGCTCTCCATCTTTCCCTCTCTCTCCTGTGGCCACGGCTTGAAAAGAATATTCCGCACGAAACTAAATCCTAAAAAACGATTCTATTGCATCACATTTTGCCGTTCGCCTACACTCGTGTGTACATCTGGCCTAAAGTGCTGCTTATGTAAACTGCCAATGTCAAGGTCAAAAAAAAAGACGCAGAGAAAGGCTTACTTGTGAAGTTTGACTCTATGCACTCCGTCAAACTCACTGCTGTCCATATTTTGTCTATGTGAACCGACAGACAGGCTGCTAGCTCTCTCAAAAGGCCTAGTTCCATCAGCCTCAGTGAGTCCAGCATCCAAACTGCTGCTTTGGCCCATCCAGTTCACCCTGTCTGAATCATCTTCAGGCTTATCTAGACACAAAGAGCCTGGTGTTCTCCGGGCAGGACGTCTCCTGCTGTTTTCCTACAAAAAGAAACCGTATTCACCATCACAGTTCATTAAAGTACCAACAGCAACAACAGTTTTATCAGAACTTCACACGACAGCTAAACAAATAAAGTGAGTTAAAAATGGACTCTTCTTGGATTACTGAAAATAACCTTATAGCCTGTTATTTTTGTTTGGAACGCTGCTTTTGCAAAAAAGAACACTATGAACTAGAAATCCGCAGGATTTCATCCCGCTCCCGCAGAAAATCAGCATCATTTGTCCCGCTCCCGCCCGCAACCGAAACATTTTGCCCCGCTCCGGTCTGCGCAGTTCCATCAAGGTGAATCAAATATCTGACACAGTCTTTTCACAAATACATTATTCTCTGCTGAAATAACACAGCAGTCATGATCATCAGACTCACTGTGAAGTAACTTCACCAAACGCCATTTATACCCTGTACACACAAAGCAGGACTTAAACCACAGAGCGGTTATTTTTGGTGTTCTGCTGGGCCATTGGACTGAAGGCACAGCCAGTCAGTGATGTTTAAAAAATGTATAACAACTTATGTAAGAAAAATGAGGCTAAAAAAAAAGTATATTTTCCTGTTTTTTACAAAAGATACATGTTTTTCATTGGACAGGGACGATATACATATATATACATATTAGTCTATATTAACCAAATACAAATGTTTTACCGTAAAATTGGTATAGTAAGCATAGGCGTGTCAGATGTATACTGATTAGCTCTTGAAAGCACGCTGAATGATCCGATGGAAACTCGTTTAGTCTAAGCATAGCAGTGGAATCTTTGGGAGCAGTGAGCAGCATTTGTCTGTACTTTAAACCAGCGAAAATAGAAATGAAAATGACATAAATTTCTATGTATTTGCTAAATTTAACATATTAGAAACATTAAAACATAACATTAAAAGTGCCATTCGTTTTGCACAGGCCACACTTTTTTTTATTTCTATCCAAACAACCGTATATAAAATATGAATAATGAGTGACTCTGAGCCAAATCTACCAATAAGGTGAGACATTAAGGTAAAGTATGGAAAGGAGCACACCTGGGAGGAGGTAGTAATGGGGCCTGCCATGATGCCTCTCCTCATTCTGCTGGTCCTGCTCCCCTGGACATCCACATCACTATTCTTCCTCTCAGAACCTAATCCTACTTTAGAGGACGCAAAGAAGCTGTCCTGGCTGGAGGATGGGAGAAATATGCCTCTCTCACAGAGAGAAATGCTCTTGGAGCTCTTTGGTGAAGGACTTTCTTTTGCTGGAGATGCCGTAAGCTGGGACACAGCACCGCTGCTCTCAGATAAACTGCAAAAAAAAGTTACAGAAACGTTTGTGTTCAAGAGCGCCCGACTGATATGATCAGAGAAATGATTCAATGTATTAAAAATATTAAAAATGAGTCAATTTTATTTTATATCAACACATTTAGTGGTAATTCACTGAATACACTGAACAAAGATTCAATGATTCAAATGTGCCAACTGGTTGCATGTTAATGAAATGTGTCATTTTCAGTGTATTGTCACGATTATGATTATAATGATGATGATGATGATTCAGCGCCATCAAGTCGGTTCAGACTCTTGGCAACCAGACAGATGGTGTTTCTCCAGAATGTCCTGTCTTCTGTTTGGCTTTTTAGCCCTCTAAATGGCTTGTTGTTGGCTGTCCTCTTCCTCTTTTACCTTCAACTGTTCCAACTGACTTCTCCAATTAACTAGCTCTTCTCAAAACACGTCCAAAATAAAGAGCTTGGGTTTAGTTAACTGAGCTTCGAGTGAGACGTGAGGCTTGATTTGGTCAATGATCCATTTGTTTGCCGTCCAAGGTGCTCATAAAAGTCTTTGCCAAACCCAAAGTTCACAGGCATCAATATTTTTACTGTCCCATTTCTTTATTGTCCAGGTTTCACATCCATAAAGAACCACAGAAACGACCACAGCCTGGACAATCCTGATCTTTGTTTGTAGACATAAATTGCAATACATAGAAATTTGAGGATCTTTTCAAGCTCCTTCATCCTTGTTCTGGCAAGTGTCAGCCTGTCATCGTATTTCTCAACTGCTGGATCCTAAAGTTGGTAAAAGCTGTCCACCATTTTTACATATTCTCCAACAATGGTGACTTTAGTGGTCTCATAACCGTCTTCGTTATATTGAGCCCATCCCATCTTTTTCTTTAATGTTCCTTATAAGAGTCTTCAGGTCTGTAGATTTTGTGCTATGAGTGCCGTGTCATCCACTGAGGCCCAATCCCATTTCTTATTTTTACCACTACCCCTTGTTTTTGAGTGTCACCCTAACCCCTTGGAACTGAGTTACAGGGTAGTGGTTGAAATCTTTCCTCTGAAATGGGACCCTCAAATAAATAGATCATTACTTCATTAACAGCTACTGGCGCTGCTCTGTAGGCGACCCTGCCAGTCTGCAGTGACAGCAGAGGAGGGTAAAGTTCAGCTCCTCACTGCTGGGCTTTAGTTACATTTAGGGCATCATATGATCTTCAAAGAGGGGGGCAATTATTTATTATCACCCCCCCCCTAATTCTTCAGTGATGTGAAGCTGAAGTCAGATATTCACCAGGTTCTTGTTCGAATTTTCCCGTTCCACCTTAAATGGTGCAGCAGTTACATATACTTGGCATTCTAGCGGTTCAGGTGTCAGAACTGCTGGACTATTTGAGGTGGAACGGGAAAGTTAGCTAGCTAGCTACCGAGACATTAGCATGCTATTAGCGATTTTTTATGCTTGTTATGAAGAAAACAACCAAAATACACTGAAATGACATTAAACTAAGTATATACAGTGGTTATCGTAATTTTAACAGAGAAAATTCTCACATTTGTGGGTTTCTTTGGTCTCTTGTTCTCCATCATGCCAGTTTTTCTCTTTTTCTCATAACTCTCTGTTTGGAGTCTCTGAAAAACCTCCGTTTGGAGGGCCATGTAGCCCCAACCCTTCACCCTCCCCCTCTATCTCAACAAGAATCGGGACACCCTACCCCTAGACGTGAATGCACAAAACAGAGGGCTAAAGGGGTAAGAGGTAGGGGCGAGGTGTGAAATGGGATTGGGCCTTACAGAAGGCTGTTGAAGTTTCTTCCACCAGTCTTCAGTACTTGATCATCCTCCTCCAGTAACCTCATTCGAGGTTCAGCATACAGACTGTACAGTGATGCATCAGTTATTCTGAATCAGTGTATGTGTGGTGAAGAATAAATGGACATGTTTCGGTGATTTTGCAGACAGAATCCAATGTTTTGTTTTCGAAAAAGCAAATTGTTTTTTTGTAGAATCTGATCCATTGTTGTCAAAATACAAGCTGAAATGTAATAAATATGTCAAACACTGCCATTCAGAAGTTTGGAATCAACATTTTTCAGTAATGTAATTTTTTTTTGTGGCATGTGCATGCATAAAAATATTCTAATATGATGCCGGTGCTCTTCAACGTTATAGGTTGGAATTAGTAGGAAAAATAAAGAAACATTAGATGTGTCCAGAATTATGGACAGAGCTGTAAACGATTACCGTAAAACAGCGGTCACACATTTGGACCAAAGTGGAAGCTGTGGTGAGATGCACAATCATTCAAAAGTTTGGAATCACTTGTCATGTCAATAGCCTCGGTTCAATAATAATTCAATAATAACTTACTCAGAGTAGACAGTAGATTGTAATACCGTAAGCAAGACACTAGAACATGTTTCAACAGTTTATTTACTATGTCTAGTTTTTGGGAGCATCAAATAGTTATTACATGGTAAATGATTTATTATTATTATTATTATTATTATTATTATCTAAGCACCACTTTTAAAATACAAGACATTTTGGATATTAATTTTAGTATGACTTCATTCTCAATGGGCCTCATTCACCAACCGTTCTTAAGAAGAAATTTCTTCTCCAAACCCACTTACGCAGTTTTCAGGAAGATTTTGACATTCACCAATGTTCTCTTATTTAGGATTTGTTCTTAGGTAAGGACAGAATCTACACACTCAAGAGCACAAACGTGAACAGTTCTGCGAGTTAAGAACACGTCATGAATCTGACGTGGACTTTTTCTTAGGACCTTTCTCAAGAACACGTTTAGAAACAAACATAGGAAAATACTGGTGAATAAGGCCCAGTGAGGATGAGGTCATACTAAAATTAACATCCAGAATGTCTGGTATTTTAAAAGGTCTGTCTGGTATTCTTAGATAATAATATTCTTAGATAATAATAACAATAAATTATTTATCATGTAATAACTTCTTGATGCTCCCAAAAAGTAGACTATAAAGTAGACTGAAAAAAATTTACTCTCTTGAACAGTCAAAATATTTCACATAAACAATATTCCAGCTTCTAAACTGCACTTTTATATATCGCTGTTGTCGAAGAAAACCCCGTATCTCCAAAATGGCAACTTTACAGGAGAAGGAAAAAACGGACTCTACTTTTAATGTAAGTCAATGGAACCAGACTTTTCTCCAAGTCATTTTGGGCCGTTTCTTTTGGTCCATTCATCATGAAATTTACACAAAGTGTAAAGGACAACAGGCATTTACAGATTATGCCAGAACCTGAGAAACAACAAAAATGGAGAAATGGAATAGGTTTTCGTCCGACAGCAGCGATACCTTGGTATATAGTGTAGTGTGTATGAGTGAGTGATGGTAGGAATGCATGTTTTATCTTTTATTTTATTTTAATCACTACAAGTAAATGTTTGATACTGTGCACTGTGAGCTCCTGTAACCAAAACTAAATTCCTTGTATGTGTAAGCAAACCTGGCCAATAAAGCTTGATTCTGTTTCTGATTCTAAAACATGTTAAAATACATTCTAGCGTCTTGCTTATAGTATTTCAATCTACTATCTCCTCTGTGTGAGTTACTATAGAACCGCAAGTACTGACAAAACAAGTGATTCCAAACTTTTGAATGGTTGTGCATCTCACCACAACTTCCACTTTGGTCCAAATGTATGACTGTGGCAGAGGTAATGTATTTTGTAAGCAGTGGTGTAAATGTTTTTGTTATTTCTTTTTTCAAATACTGCAGATACCTCAAACTATCCCCATATTGACCAGCGAGATCTCTGTCTTTCCACATATATGAGGCATCATTCGTAGTGGAGGCTGAACCAGGCACATTTTCCTCAGCTGACAGAGTTCGGTTGTCCACAAGGTGGCATCTCTTCGCATCTCCACTCTTTCTCATCTGCTCCTTCACCATGATCTCCAGCATTGATTTCAGTGGGTGTTCTTCAGACTGCAGAAAGCGCAGAGAAGAAGATGAACCTAAACAGATGCTTGTTATCTTGGATATAATCAGGTTAATCACTATAAAAGCTCTTACCTTATTCTTTTTATACAGACTCTCCAAGTGAAGGATTCTGCGCAGATCTGACCTGTTGTTGATGCTTAAGTTCGTTCGTGGAAGCTCCTCGTCCATACAAGCAATCGTTTTCTTCAGACCCTACAAAATTAACTTTGTATATTTAGTCACTGTGCAAACACAGCTAATGTTAACATCTGCAGACAATAGACACTGAAGTACAACCCCATTTCCAAAAAAGTTGGGACGCTGTGCAGAATGTAAATAAAAATAAGATGCACTAATGCCCCCCTATACCATCATGAATACTGGCTTTTGAACTGGGCACAAGCTTGATAACAAGCTGAGTGGTCTTTAGCCTGGAGGACACAGCGTCCATGATTTTCAAAAAGAAAAAATTCCATCAAAAATTCCAAATGTTGATTCGTTGGACCACAGGACACTTTTCCACTTCTCCTCAGTATATTTTAAATGAGCTCAGGCCCAGAGAAGGTGGCAGCATTTCTGGATTCTGTTTATGTACAGTTTCTTCTTTGCGTTTTTAACTCGCATTTGTGGATGCAGTTATGAACTGTGTTTACAGACAGTGGTTTTCAGAAGTGTTTCTGAGCCCATGCAGTGATTTCCACTACAGAATCATGTCTGTTTTTAATGCAGTGCTGCCTGAGGGCCCAAAGATCACAGCCAGCAAATACTGGTTTTTGGCCTTGTCCCTTCGATTCAGAGATTTCTCCAGATTTTCTGAATCTTTTAATGTTATTATGTACCGTAGATGATGAAAAGCAAAAGTTCTTTGCTGTTTTATGTTGAGAAACGTTATTCTTGAATTGTTGCACTATTTGCTTGCACAGTCTTTCACGGAGTGGTGAACCCCTCCTCATCTTTACTTCTGAAAGACTCCGCCTCTCTGAGATGCTTTTTTATACCCAATCATGTTACTGACCTGTTGCCAATCAACCACCAGGTGCTTTTGTTAGTATTACACAACTTTACCAGCCTTTTATTGCCCCCGTCCCAACTTTTTTAGAAGATGCTGTTGGCATCAAATTCAAAATTGGCACATATTTTTCAAAAAACAATAATATTTCTCAGTTTCAACATCTGATTTGTTGTCTTTGTACTACTTTCAATTAAATATAGGGTTTAAATGATTTCCACATCATTGCATTTTGTTTTTATTTACATTTTGCACAGCATCCCAACTTTTTGGGAAATGGGATTAGATAATGTTAGAATAACAAAGAAAAAGGAATTTCTGTCTTGCATGTAAGGTGCTCAGCAGAACCCCAGCAAACAGTAAAGAATAGGGACGCACAATGATATCGGTATATATTTGCTTAAGAAATATAAAAAATAAATAGATGTTTAGATTTGGCTGATATTTACTGATGTATTTATCTTCTCCAGAAGTGCAGAATGTTTAGGTGATGCTGGGCCACGGTGCAAAAATATCTGCATTTTATTAATTTTACTGCATTTTAACCCTTTACAAATGAAAGTTAAAGTGCTCAAAAGTAGTTTTGAGCCGCTTTGTATCATCATTTACTTTTTAGAATTATTTAAATTGTTAATGTACTGTAGATACTGTACTTTACCACCTAAATCATTCTAGTTATTTTATTATATATCAGTCAATACTTTCCATTTGAGCAATAGCAAGCTAAAAGACGTTCACCTAATCCCCTCATTTTACTTCCAAACAAATTACCTTGACATTCTGAAAAACAAAGAAAGTTCGAAAGCTAGAAAAAAACTTGAATACTGAGATGAATTAACCTGAAAAATAAATACTGTCTCTTGGTAATAAAACGTCTCAGAAAAAGATTTTTAATACACTGAAAATTTCAAAATCAAGAGTGAAAAATGTACTGAGGTGGTGGAAAGAGACCTGCCATGCTCTGACCATCCAAACAAGAACATCCAACAAGCCTGGCTGAGCTGCAGTTGTGCAAACTCATGGACTCCACGCCTAGAAGGCTTCAAGCTCTCATCCAGAAGAAGATATATGCAAAATACTGACCTACATAAAGGAATGAGACCCTAACATTTGTCCTGCTGATGTTTCGGCACTTTTTCTTGCCTTACTTAAGTTTTCAGTTAATCACCATTGGGGCCGGATTCACGAAAGTGTCTTAAGAAAGAAAATCTTCTTAAATATGTGTTTTTTTCTTAACTTCATTCTTAAGGAAAAAGTTATGAGTAATTGTTATTCTTCAAATAACTTCTTAAGAACTATCTTATTTTCATTTTCTTAACTATTTTCTTAGTAATAATTCTAAGAACAAGTGGTTTTCTTGAAAATATTATGTTCTTAAATGTTTTCTTAACCTTACTACAGTTTCACACTTGTCTTACGATGTAAGAGTTGACAAAGTGAGCATCTAAATTTATCACGGTTTGCTGCCTCTGCTGCTCCTCATCCTCGTCTGTCACCCCCCAGTTATTGTATTTTCCAATGTGGATTTTTTTTCCTGTTGGCTGTTTCTTCCGCCATCACCTCTAGTTCTTGTTTGCAAAATTTTTAAATGCTTGGTTTGATGTTTTTCCTTCATTTTGCTCCTCTGAGTGGATTAAACTAAATAACGGAAATAAAACTACAAATTCAAACTGTATCTTGCGTCATTTATGATACATGGTAAAATGCAACCTGGCCTACATAAGTAACCAATGAAGACACTGCTGTGTCTGATCCACTCAGACCAGCACAACACACACTAACACACCACCACCACGTCAGTGTCACTGCAGTGCTGAGAATGATCCACCACCCAAATAGTACCTGCCCTGTGAGGGTCCATGGGGGTCCTGACCACTGAAGAACAGGGTAAAAGGGGGCTAACAAAGTATGCAGGACTACAGTCTGTAACTGTAGAACTACAAAGTGCACCTATATAGTAAGTGGAGCTGATAAAATGGACAATGAGCGTAGAAACAAGGACATAGTGTCAATGTTATGCCTGATCGGTGTATCAGATACTGGCCCACAATTCAGTGCATCCCAAAGAATTTAACTATGCTTAACTATGTTTCTATGTATCAAAAGCCTTCCCTTTAAAATGTTATGTAATAAAGTTGCCTAATTATGCCCCCTTAGTCCCATCAAAGAGAGATGCTAGGGTATTTTATTAGGGTATTTTACCTGTACACCTGCTCAGCCAATCATGTTGCAGCAGAGCAACGCATAAAATCATGCAGACACAGGTCAAGCAGCTTTAGTGAAAGCTTGTTCGACTTAAAAGAAGCAGCATTACTGAGTTAGGAGAATAAAAACGGGCTAAAACATGGTGCGTTCGCTGCTGCAAGTCAACCCGTAAAGGAGCATAACCCATGCTATAAAATGTTCTTCACCACACTGCATGCAATTACACATTTCCACCAGAGAGGTCTCCAAATCCCCAAAGCGTACATAGTGCAGCTTTAATCTAAGTGACCATGCAATGACTGTTGGGGTGAGACATGGTAGATTGAGTACTTCATAAACTGCTGATCTCCTGGGATTTTCATGCACAACAGCCACTACAGTTGACTAGAATGGTGCGAACAACATAAAGCATCCAGTGAGCAGCAGTTCTATGGGCATAAATGCTTTGTTGGTGAAAGAAGGAGAATGACCAGACTTGCTCGAGCTGACAGGAAGGCTACTGTCACTCAAATAACGCTCTTTACTACAGCAGTGATCAGGAAAGCATCTTTAAATGCGCAACACGTCAAACCATGAGGAGGATGGGCTTCAACATTACATCAAATCGAGTTCTAATCCTGTCAGCAAAGAACAGGAATCTAAGGCTACAGTGGGCACAGCTGAAGATTGGAAAAGCGTCGGCTGGTCTAACAGGTCTCGATTCCTGCTTGATTTCTTATATGAATCCATAGACCGTGCTTTGTTTCAAAAATTGGTGGTGGTGTTATGGTGTAGGTAATGTTTTCTTGGCACACACTGGGGCTCCTAATATCAGCTGAGCATCCTTTGAATGCAATGGCCCCTCTGAGCATTGCTGATGAACATGTGGCCACAGTTTACCACCTCCTAATGGCTACATCCAGCATGATAACCATGCGCGGTTTTAAAGGGGTGGCCAAGGAGCCCAAGGTGGCCAACAACCCTCCTGAAATATGATTGGCCTCCCAAGATGACACCCCAAAATTTCTGCCACATTATTGGCTTCCAACTCGCTATGGGGGGGTGGGTGTTTACACCTTTAAGAGGAGAGTTGTTTTGCTATCTATGAACTGTGATTGGTTGAACAACCGTGCAACCTCTCACCAACACCCCTCACCCCCACCCCATCACCACCCCAGTAAAAATTTCTTGATCCACCACTGATGATAATGCACCTTGTCACAAAGTCACGAGTCACCTTTAACTGGTTCTATGAACACAGCAATGGGTTCGCTACACTTCTGTGGCCTTTCTGGTCAGTAGATCTGAACCCAACAGGTGAACCATCACGTCAGCATTGACCAGGATATCTAAAGAATGTTTCCAGAACCTTTGTGAATCCATGCCATGAAAAATCCAGGCTGCTCTGAAAGCAAAGTTGGAGTCATTCCCAGCATTTGATTGGTGTTCCTGAGAAAGTGTCTGGATGATGTATGTTGCTAAAGATAATTTCATTCTTCACAGTAAATGTCTGCGGAGCCCCCAAGGTGACGTGGTGATTATTTAAGCAACAGAACACGAGAGGGAGTGTGTTATCGCGAAATAACATCACGGCTGTGATTTGGTCGACATAGATCATCACAGCCGTGATGCTTTTATACAGCAGTTAAATAAATAAAGTAATGAATTAATAAACTGGGCCGTGAACGCTGTATTTAATATGTTTTAATGTTCGCAGTTCCTTCTGCCAAATTATAGCTCATTAACAAGCAGCTTGTTGCTACGTCAGAGTAACGAGCTCCGCCCACTCGCTGCTCAGCCGGCAGTTCGTTCTCCAGCTCCTCACACTAAATTCCCAAACTGTCATCACCACTGAGCAGCTTTTCAGTCGGCAGCTGTGACAGAAGAACAGCTAAACAACCTGGAATCAGCCAGAAATGAACCCAATACCATTCGCCAAACGTGTAGTCTGATCTTCAGAGTCTGACCAAATCGGACTGAGCCATAAAACTGCCGCAATATCAAGTTTAGCTCAGTTTTGTCAGTTTTTGCCAGATCAGTATTAATGTTGTTTTGTTCCAGCCAGTCTGTAAAGCATCTTACAGCCCATTTAGTTTGGCGAATGGTATTGGGTTCATTTCTGGCTGATTCCAGGTTGTTTAGCTGTTCTTCTGTCACAGCTGCCGACTGAAAAGCTGCTCAGTGGTGATGACAGTTTGGGAATTTAGTGTCGTCTCATCTTCAGAGTCTGACCAAATCGGCTGTTGGTCAAATGTGATCTTAAAAGTGTCCGTTTTCTGTTTGTGGCAAAGTAAGAAGTAAAAACGTTCAAATAGCTTGAGCGTCTCCTACAGCCGTCAAAGTCGTTGCTTAGCAGCGGCGTCTCTGCGGAGTGATACAGTGCTTGTGAAAAAAACATGATGTTATGGTGAAATAACAGCACGGTTAGAACGCTTCTCAACCAATCAGCTCACGTGGCCGGAACTAACTGCTGTATAATTTTTATAAGGCGTGGCCAAGATTCTTATATTGAGGCCACATGTTAAGTATTTTCATAACTTGTGGCCTCAATATAAGAATTCGTGGCCTCAATGTAGTTATTTGTGGTCTCAATACAGTAGCTCATGGCCTCAATATAGAAACTCATGGCCCCAATATATCAATTTGTGGCCTCTATATAGCAACTTGTGGACTCAACATATTAAACTTTATTTAAAAATAACCACCGTGTCACTTTAGAGACTCTGTAAACATCCCTCAATGATGATGACACAAACAGATCAGGTGCTACAAGAAATGTGAATTTAGAAAGGTGGTGTTTCTCTTCTGCTGCTATTTTTGTCTGAAATCCCTAAATTCCTGAGTCTTGCTGGCTAAAAACAATTAAGTATTAATGTTGTAGCATTATTGAAGCATGAAAACACTAAAGGGAATGTCTTTACTACACAACACAGGAACCAAACCCCAGAAAACGCCTTTGGAGAGGGTGGTGGGGATGTTAGTCAGCACCTCTTGCTGAAGCTGAGGCTGAAGTTGGCTTCCTATTCGCCAGATTTGTCCTCAAATCTTCCCCGTTCCACCTTAAATGGTGCAGCAGCTACATTCTGGCGCCCCAGGCCTGGCAAAATTTAAGGTGGAACGGCAAAATTCGAACAAGAATGTGGAGAACGGAAAGCTGCTGACTTCAGTTTAGTCTCTAGCTTGGGCCCTGTCGGGAAAAGGCACTAAGCATCGTCAGGTCACCCACCTTTCGACTGAGATATTCTCGTACAAGAGCTGCTGCGACCTCTTCCACATCTTTCCTCATGATGACTTACTGACTCGGTGACCGAGTAAACAAACACTGATAGACAGGAGCTGAGTTAGCCTGGCTAGCTTAGCTAACGTTGCTCAACTGGGCAGCTAAAAACAAAGAACAAGTGAGCGAATATCTTTTCATATAATCTTTTCATGTATAAATAAAGCAGCAGGGCTCGGTTTAACCGCATATACATTCAGCCTTTCCGCATTTTTGACACAACATCTAACGTTACGCTGTCTGGACGAGCGTATAACTCAGCCGCCAAGGCAGCTAACGATAGTCCGCTAATGGGCTGGTTATCCCGCCTCCTGTGCTGTGATTGGCTAGTATCCCAGCTCCTGTGCTAGGATTGGCTATTCGGGCTCAGAAGCGGTCCGCTGATTGGACGGTTGAGAAGTCGTTCAAATCACTATGGCAACCTTAGAAAACAGATATAACGGAGCGGTTGAAAACAGAAAGCGAGCAAGTTTTTAGCCCCGTTTCATCACATAAATATTTATTAGTCTTATTCGCAATTACAGGAGACTGTTCTCAGTTATCCGCACAGAATACAGACATAGCAGACTTTGTGTGATAAACACCCTCTTGCTGGTGGTACAGCCCGGATAAGGACGAGCTTTTGTGCAGCAGCAGCTCCACCTTGCGGCTGGAACGGGTCTCTGGCGATCCTCGTACATGAAGATGCAGAAGCTTTACTTCATGACCCACCACCCAAAAAGTACCTGCTCTGTGAGGGTCTATGGGGGTCCTGACCACTGAAGAACAGGGTAAAAGGGGGCTAACAAAATATGCAGAGAAACAGATGGACTACAGTCTGTAACTGTAGAACTACAAAGTGCACCTATATAGTAAGTGGAGCTGATAAAATGGACAATAAGCGTAGAAACAAGGAGGTGGTCATAATGTTATGCCTGATTGGTTAGTTGCTTCTTACCTTCCAAGTAATCTTAAATACAAATCATCAGTCTTTTAAACCGTCCACCACATCTGTGTTCAAGTGTAATTTTTCTTCGTTTTATCTTTTTTTGGAAACTCCTGCTTTTTCACTTATTTTCCTTTGACTTTCTGCTTCCTGATTCAAGTGGATTACCTTCTATCTGATCTCAGAAATATCTCCCAAAAATGTGTAGCTTGTACTTAATGGCTGTTTTGACTGGACATTAAATGAATGAAGGTCTGAGAATTTTGCCCAATACTGTATCATTGTATGGTTGGAAGGTGCTTCGCTGAAATGAGTGTAATCAGTGATCTGTGCTGTTAAAATGACACACGACAGCTGGATTTTTATTCGTTTTATTATAAGTTTACATATCACAAATATTTCTCCTATCCTAAAGTCACTTTTTTGCAAACCTCAGCAGAGTCTTAATAAACTACGCACAGTAATCTGCTTCACATAACATAAAAACACATGGGGAAAACGTGAACAATGAAATCATAACGTGATAAAAGGTTCTGCGTGTGAATCAGAGCTGTGATGAAAATGTAAATGCTGTTCTTACACCTTCTTTAACATAAAGAAAACCTCAGTCAGAAAGAAACTGTCAGCTTATTACTGGGAAATAAGGATCAACACAGATGTTGGAACATTTCTGCACACTCTCAGAAATAAAGGTACTGAACTGTCACTGGGGCAGTTCCCCTCTTGTCACTGGGGTGGAACCCTCAAGGGTCCATCTCAGTACCTTTAGTCAGGGAACATAACTGAACCATAATCCACTGAAATGATATGTTCTAAGCTGTACTGACTCCACACACCCCGTCTCGTCTCCAGGCTTTTATTTTACTGTTCTGTTTAAAACATTCGGTTATGAAAAGGTACAAATACGAACTTTTCACCTGGAAAAACGTATTTAAGGTTCACAATCAGACCTTAAAACCACTGTTGTACCTTTAAGGGAACATTTACACTGTTTGTACCTTGAAGAACAAAAAATGTACCTGCGCAGAACCTTTATTTCTAACAGGGAACTGATCTGAGAGCACTAGGAGGCCTTAAAGTCTGAGGATGCCTTTCTTAATAGTTGTTGGCTGTGATAAATTAATTTGATGTATTGGTTTGATTTCTTTTAATCAGATGAGTAATGCTTCCTTTATAGCACTCTTAAAAATGATGGTTCTTTAGAGGTTCTTTAGCTAAGAAAATGGTTCTGTATTGAACCATGAATACTTAAAGAACCCTTTGCATGATTAAACGGTTCTCTGCATCCTTAAATTGTTCTTTTTCAGTATGATTGAGAACGTGCTGTAGACGGTTCCACATAGAACCTTATTGAATAGGGTTGTATGTAGCACTCAAGAAGGTTCTTCTACGCGGATGATGTCAAGCTTGTAACAATAGAAGAACCTTTTTGGTGCTATATAGAACCCTTTTCAAAAAGGTTCTACATGGAACCATAAAGGTTCTTTGAATCCTTAAATTGTTCTTCTTCATATTGATGGAGAATGTGCTGTAGGTTCTACATGGAACCGTAAAGGTTCTTTGCATCCTTAAATTGTTCTTCTTCAGATTGATGGAGAGTGTGCTGTAGATGGTTCTATATAGAACCCCTTTTAGTGCTATATAGAACCCTTTATTAAGGTTCTACACAGAACCATCAACACTCAAAAAACCCTTTGCATGATTAAAATGTTCTTTGCATCATTAAATTGTTCTTCTTCAGATTAATGGAGAATGTGCGGTAGATGGTTCTATATAGAACTGTACAGAAAAGCGTTCTATATAGCACCAAAAAGGTTCTCCTTTTGCTACGATGTCAAGCTTGTAACAATAGAAGAACCCTTTTGGTGCTATATAGAACCCTTTTCAAAAAGGTTCTACATGGATCCATAAAGGTTCTTTGAATCCTTAAATTGTTCTTCTTCATACTGATGGAGAATGTGCTGTAGGTTCTACATGGAACCATAAAGGTTCTTTGCATCCTTAAATTGTTCTTCAGATTGATAGAGATTGTGCTGTAGATGGTTCTATACAGAACCTTATCGAAAAGGGTTCCATACAGCACCAAAAAGGGTTCTTCTATTGTTACGATGCTAAATAGAACCCTTTTCAAAATACAGCAACACATTCTCCATCAGTCTGAAGAACCATTTCACCATGCAAAGAACCCTTTAATCATACAAATGGTTCTTTGAGTGTTCATGGTTCTATATAGGACCACTGTCTTTACTAAAGAACCCTTGAAGAACCGTCTGTAGGTGTCCAGCTGACTCGTATTAAAGCATGAAAAACAGTATGAATTTTAAGTTATAATGAATGTTTTGATTTGTTGTAACAGTTTGTGGGGACAGTTTGTCAGTTGTGGCACAAATTCATCCCAAACACTTAAAGTATAAAGTTGCTGACAGTGAGTGCAGCTTTCGTATGTAAACAACGTTTCGCACTTCATCATCGAGTGTATATTCTTGGGAGGAATGGTGAAAAAAATACAGCTCACTTCCTCTGCGGTATTTTTTTTTATTATTATTTTTGGCCCTACCGTGAAATATGAACTTATTACAAAAGGAAAACCAGAAAAAGAAGACAGGGGAAAGTTCCGGAAGGGGGAAAGGAGCGCGTCAGTAGTCCTCCGCTGGAAAAAGAGAGACAGACAGAGAGAGAGAGATAAATGGAGAGTCATGAGCCGGAGGCAGAGGAACCAGGCGGGTGAAGATGAGGGCATGCAGTCCGCTTGCTGTTAGTACGAGGTGGAGAGAAACGAGCGTGCTGCAGGCCCGGCACCAGAACCAACCTAAACCATGAGTAGGACAGCTTATATCCACTGGAAGAGGATCCAGCACACAAAGGAACTCATGGTAGACTATATGTCCAAAAGTTTGTGGACACCTCCAGCTTTTCTATTGAAATGAAGGGTATTAATAGTGAGTTTGTCTCTTTGCTGCAGTAACAGCCTCTACTCTTCTGGGAAGGCTTTACACTAAGGTTCTTCAGGGGTTCTTTAGTAAAGAAAATGGTTCTATATAGAACCACAAACATTCAAAGGACCCATTCCATGATTAAAGGGTGCTTTGCGTCATGAAAACGTTCTTCAGATTGAGAATATGGTGTAGATGGCTCTACATAGAACCTTTTTGAAAATGGTTCTATATAGCACCAAAAGGGGTTCGGCTATTGTTACAAGCTTGACATTATAACTATAGAAGAACCCATTTTGGTTATATAGAACCATCTACAGCACATTCTTCATCAATCTGAAGAAGAACAATTTAATGATACAAAGAACCCTTTATTCATGAAAAGGGTTCTTTACGGGGTTTATAGTTGTATATAGAACCATTTTTGATCGAGAATATGCTGTAGATGGTTCTATATAGAATTTATTTGAAAAGGGTTCTGTGTAGCACTAAAAAGCTTTCTTCTATTGTTACGATGTCAGGCAAGAACCCTTTTTGGTGCCAAATAGAACCCTTTTCAAAAATATAGAACCATCTACAGCACATTCTCCATCAGTCTGAAGAACGCTTTCACGATGCCAAGAACCCTTTAATCATGGAAAGGGTTCTTTGAATGTTCATGGTTCTATATAGAACCATTTTTTGACAGAGAATGTGTTGTAGATGGTTCTATATTTTTGAAATGTTAGGCTTGTTGCAATAGAAGAACGCTTTTTGGTGCCAAATAGAACCCTTTTCAAAAATATAGAACCATCTACAGCACATTCGATGCCAAGAACCCTTTAATCATGGAAAGGGTTCTTTGAATGTTCTTGGTTCTATATAGAATGGTTGTCTTTACTAAAGAACCCTTAAAGGACCATCATTTTTAAGTGTGTAGATGTTGGAACATTGCTGTGAGGATTTGATTGAGCATTAGTGAGGTCAGGTACTGATGTTGGATGGTCAGTTCTGGATCTCCAACTCATCCCAAAGGTGTTGGATGGAGCTCCATCACTCCAGAGAACACGGCTCCACTGCTCCACAGCCCAATGCTGGGGGGCTTTATACCCCCTCTAGCTGACAAATGAGCATCAGTGCAGCAACGAGTGCATCTTAAAGTAGCTGGATTTACTCGTTATGAAAGCCTGGATGCTTTTGGACGTATAGTGTTTATCTGTAAGTCGTAATGTTCACAAATAAAAGTCTCTGCATTGCTGCTGGTGGTTTCTTCTGTATTTGACTGAACTGGATTGCTGGTTTGTTTGGAAGCTGAAATTTCAAATCGTCTGATATCCATGATAGCGATGTTATCAAATGGAATCATGGCCCAGCAGTGTGTGTGGCTACTCTAAGTAGCTACTGCAACCTAGAACAGAGGGTCTCAACTCTAGTCCT